TGAAGTTGCAGGTTCAGAGAGTCTAGTCGGCTCTGCACTAATAGTCGGCTCTGCACTAACTACTTTGCAGCTCTTGGCAGCTGCAAAAGTAGTTAGAATGGCAACCCCACAACAAGGAAGCACGGTAACAAGCGTATCGCAATCGTTGCTATGAGGAGCTGTCATGAGCAAGTAGTTTAAACTAGCTCCTCGAAGACGTCGCCTTCATAAACCTTTGGCACCCGCCCTTCCATGATATATAACCTGGACTGTGATGACATGAAGGCCCTAAACCCTAAGCCCAAAACCCTAAACCCCTGCCAACAGAGTGCCCTGGGTCCAACCATTCATTGCTGACCGCTGGTGGCTTAGCGTCTGAGATCGGCGGATACATATGACCATGGTTTACAATACCATCTACCTAGGCTGGCGATTGATACTTGGATCCTGTTGATCGTGGGATAGAAAGAGGCAGTTGACAAAATGTGGAAGGTGCAAAGACGCAATGATGTTCGATAGTTCAAGCAAGATTGTCAACAGAGTACTCTGGGCCCGACTATCAATCGCTGACTGCTGGTGGCTTTGTGTCTGAGATCAACGGATAAACATGACAGTAGTCTACAACACCACCTGCTTAAGCGGGCAATGACCGAAGAACTGGGTCCTGGTGGGCATGGAACAAAACACAGTTGACAGCATGCGGAAGGCATAATTCATTTGCAAGTTTGCAAGTCTGCCAGTGAGTTAATTTGCGGCGGTCGTTTGCATGTGTATTGTGCTCAATGAATTTCAAGTTAGGTTAGAGGAGGGAACAGAAATACCTGAGGTCCTCCCTGGCCTTTGATGTTTATCTCATTACTGCCTCAACTGCCCTACCTGAACCCTGAACATTGTTTCCTCCTATATGGAATTCCGTCGAATTCCGCTAACTAGTTACAGAGAAGAGCGGAGTTTGGTGGACACACGTGCATAAAGTACTGACTTAGAGGTTCTAAGATAGGGTCCTCGCTGTCTCTTTTGAAGCATGTGTGTGTGTGTGTGTTTCACTTTGCAGACCTCGTACCGTATGCCGCGCCTGGATTGTCCGAGTGTGAGAGCCGAAACCCCAGTTAAGCCAAGGCAAGTACACCCAGTACGAGCGAGACTACATCAGGACGTGTGCGCCGATGAGGGTCCGTGTTTAGTTCTGTGGCGGCATGTCCAGAGCGCTGTTTGGCAATCCGAACAAGCAGTGACAGCCAAAATTACCACAGCCAGGACTTGGGACCTAGACAAGCCTTGGTTCCTAAACGCCTCCTTTCAAGTGTCCATCTAAGGTAGAACCCATGGGCCCTAGTATGGGCCCTTAACCCTGGGACCCAAATATACCTACTATATACCCTATATATACCCTTAAGGGACCCTACAATCCCCTAAGGGCCCATGTTAGGGGCCCATGGGTTCAACCTTAGAGTCCATCTTCGGCAGGAAGGTGTTCCAAGAATTTGACGAAGACGGCTCCGGCGAGTTGAACACCAACGAGGTCCAGGCGGTGTTGGAGGCCGTCCTGTCCTGCCAGCCGCCATTTGAGAGTTTCCGAAAATTAGGGGTACCTTATTTTGGGGTCCTTATATCAAGGATCCTATTATTCAGGGTACTATGTTAGGGTCCCCTATTTTCAGACACCCCCATTTTCCAGGATGTTCACATTGTCAAAAGTTCTTTTTCTGGTCTTTCGGGAAAGGCTGAAGTTCGACTTCAAGTATGCAGGTATATGCAGCACTGCGGTTCAAAGCCCGAAGCCCTGAAGCAGAGGCTGCTGCGTCAAACAAGCCGAGTGCGACACATTATGCATCTAGAATCTAGGTTCTAGGTGCCCATTTGCTAGTGGCTGGCGGACCTGCAGGCCATCGGATGCTCACCATTTCGTGGGACGCTCCAAAGGCGGGTGCTGGTTGTTCGAGGATGAAAACTGTTGCGGAACGACTTTCCATCCAGTTCAGAGGTGTCATTATTCAGACTTCTCTGCCAGCCCTGTAGCTGCCGGCTGCTGGAAGGCTGATCGAGGCAGTTGACGTGGACCATTCGCAAACCCTGGACTTCAACGAGTTCTTGTCGCTGCTGCTAGTTTATCGCCAGACCGATGGATTCAGCCACAAGGAGCCATTGCAGTCTTGGCAATGTTGGCCAGATTGGGGGTAGGGTGAATTCCATCGCCATGCGAGATGAACTCTTTGCATCTGCGTGTGGACGGATGTCTTGGTCTGTACTGCCTGGGTGGACTTGTGCATGCGCGGGGGCACTCACTGGCTTGTCGTAGAGGAAGCCAAGTCGCATGAGAAACATTGAAGGCTAATTAGGCTAGATGCCATGCCAATACCTGCGGGTAGTCCCTGGCACACGCTGTCTTGACACCCCGTTCGGTTTCGTTTTGGCAAGATTTGCTTTCTGTGAGGAAGTGCGACAGCTGTACCGGACCTTCTGCCGCTTTGCGGTCGAGGATCCGCAAAGCAAGACGAAGAAGGCCGGGACGGCGCCGACGCTTCCGGGCACTTAATTGAGTGGCCTGCTGTCATGCCTTGAAAGTTTTGAATCGGGTGTGGGGGTAAATTATCCGCCAAAACCCTAGTCTAATTGTTGAGGCCCCTGCAGTATACCCATCCCAAACGCTTGTCAACGGGCACTCGTGTTCCCATGGAGCCGCTTTTTGCTGAATCCACCTGCGATCATAATGAACTGCTGAACCCGTGTGGGCCGCTATCCCTATATCTGTATCTAATTCTTATATCTATGTATACATATGTGTGTGTGTACATGTGTACTGTATGTGTGTACTCAGAATCTACGGAGAGATGTGTGTACGTATGCACATGTATATGTAGATGTGTCAGAAACTCTTAACCCTGGCCTGCTTGTCGAGTGCGGGTGCTAAAAATATGTAGATGTGTTTGTTTTTTATGCACATACAGACATACATACATGCATACATGCATGCAACACACATATATGTTCTCAATCTACCTCGCAGCCGTTCGGCAGGTCCCCGAGCACCGCCTCACTGCAGCGCTGATTTTCGAGTTCGGAGCCCAGGCGGCAGAGCTGGCCAGGACAGCTGGGTTATTTCCCGGACAAGTCTGCAATCTCCCGGGATTCTTGCGTAGAGGTTTGATGCTGGTTGTGGTCTTGACTTGTGGGAGGTTCCGAGGAAGCCTTATACTAATTCAGCTCTAAATTTACTGCAGCATGACAATATGCCAGTCTGCCCTTCCCGTATTTAAGTCTTGGGTTTATTACCTTTCACAGTACACGCGATGTATCAGTTCTGAATCCAGTTTGAATGGGTTCGCTGTCGAATGAACTCTCTCGTGCCAGGAGACTGGCGTCGTCCACGACATCCAAGATCATGCGGCTTGCCTTTGGCTCACGGTTTGAGCCGGGACTTGCAATCTTTACGAGAGCTTTGCTAAGGAAAAAGGGCAGATCGCCTTGGAAGCTGGCTGCTGCCAGCATCCGACCAGCTCTGGGCGAGGAGAGAGGCACAGGCCTCACCTTCCGGCAGCTACTCGTCAAACAAGGATCGAAACATGTCCCAAAGCCTTTTGCCGCTTGCACTACTGCCTGCCTGCAGCCTTAGCAGGTTTACTGCGTGGTCTCGCCGCATGAAGGAAGCCGAGATTGCAGAATATGTGCGCCAGCTTCTTGCCTTACGCAGCCTTGGCGAATCTAGCCCGTTCATTGATTATGGTTTCGGGGCCGCCGCAACTGTAAATGAGGTTCAAAAAGTTTGACCAGAGCGGCGACGGCGTTCTGGATCGTGCAGAGGTGAAGACGCTGCTGGCAGAGATGGGTTACACGTAGCTTGCTTGGTTTTGGCCATCCCTTGGCATACCCGGCACCCGGCACCTGGCAATTATCTCGCTTCTCTAATGCCGTTCTCGGCTTGATGCAAGATCAGACCAACGCGAGCTAAGACAAGCAAAGGCAGCCAGGAAACACAATGCAAGGCTGATTTGTCGTTTAACCGGTTGTATCTATGCATATGTATCCAAGTTTAGGAGCGTGTAAGAGCACGACTGCCCCTCTCGGTTTGCAGTTTCTTCTAACGCGATCCCAATTGCACTCCACCCTGCAGACACGGATGCAGGGAAAACACATGAAGTATGTACAGCAACATACATGCATACGAACACCCAGGTATGTTGGGTTGTGCGTAGATGCTGCGCGTAGACACCGGTGGAAGGCGCTCATGTCATGGCTAGGCTAGACGTTGGACGCACAAGTCGTTGGGGATGCGGGGCTCGGGTTTTTGTCCAAGTCACACCGAAAGACTGGCGCAAGGGGGCAAGCACTGCCATAGAGGACTTTCAGTCCCAGGCGGTCGCTTGGCTCCGTCTGAGGCCCATGCGGTCCAACGTGGACGATCTTTTCGAGGCAGTAGACACGGACGAAGACAATACCATCAACCTGGAGGAGATGCTCGGAAGAATGGCTGACGATTTGCGGCCGAAAGGTTACCATGAGGTATGGTCATAGCATGTCAGATTTCGCTAAAGCCTACGTAAGCCGACTTCAGCGGTTCTTGCGGCTTAAGCACTTAAGCTGTATAGCGTTTTAGAGGTAGCAGTTTCTGAGGTATTTGGATGTCATGGACTACTTCAAGAAGTGGGATGGGTTTACTGGCGATCAGGCGGAGGAGCTGCAGAATCTGTTCAACAGGCGCTGCTCGTTGCTGGGGATGAAGAAGCCTCCTCTGCTTGACAATGTTTCTACCAAGTCCTACTGGTGACCACTATGTGTCTCGCTATTTGACAGTGTTCCGCGAATGTGAAAGCAGGTGATAGGATGACGGTGCCATGTCAGGTACAAGGACAGCAATGGCGAAATCTCGTCCATTCAGACGCTCCGCATGATTCAAGCTCATAGCACACGTATGCCAGATTGCTAGCTGCTAGCTATGGCATCTGTGGAGTTTTGGGGTTGGGCCACCATTCGCGCGTTCGCATGTGAAACACATTCCAATTCGGCGCCAAGTTCGTGGAGCATGCTGCAACCTCAAACAATGGGCCGCAATCCTCCGCTCTTTTGCGTTCCTTTGTGCCCCAAGGATTTTGGACATATTCAGATCCAGGGGCGTCAATGTCAGCTTGCGCCCCCTGGCTTTGAAAAGGCTTGCGGGGCGAATTAATGTAAGGCTGCGATGTTTCTTCGGCATGTTTCGCGCGACCGAGGCAAGATTCAGCAGCTCGTTGCCAAGGCACTGCCATGCACATCATGATTGCACGGCAGCTTGAGGTACGACAAGCGTCCTCCCTGTGTTTGGGCATGGCAACATCCTGTATGCAATTTATTCAGTTGATTGGATGTAGGAGGGTTGCGTTTATCTCCCTTACTGCATGTGGATGAGTTGCGCAGTCATGTCAGCCTGGTCCTTCTTCGTCTACATTAGGTGGATGTGGACGGAACGCACTCAGTGGACCTCAAGGACCCAACGTTCGCGTAGATTGGCGCAGCTATGCGCAGCTGTATGTTGCCGGGGTTTGGGTACGAGGCTGCGGTGGTAAGCGCAAGCCAGTCAGAAGACAAGTGCAACACCTGCATCTTCAGTCCAAGCTTCGAAAAGCAGGGCTTGGAGGTCGAGCTGGGCAGTAAGGGCAGCAGTCGAGTCCCTTGTGAAAAATGGTGCAAGCCCTGGAGCCGTTGGATGCTGATCCTTGTAATGGCGCATTTGTGCGAGCTGTTGCTACAGATTTCTCGATGACCCCGTAGCAGACGACCGGACAAAGCGTGCAGGTCTTCCGATAGTTGTTCGGCTGCGCGAAGTGCTGAACTGGCACTATAGGTTTGAAGCCAGCGCCATCTTCAGGAGTTCCTACGCCTCATGCGCCTGCAAAGGGAGAGCGTGTCTTGGCAAAAGCAAGGGATGCTGTTCGATTCTTTACGTGCGGGGCCATTTCATGGTGCTTGAAGATGAAGCTGCCTTTGTTCACGTCCTCCAGAAGGTTAGGGTCTGAACCCCTTGTCTCTTGACCTTACCACAGCAAAGGAGTTGACGGATGCCAAGGAGGCCTTCTTCCTCACCCTCCAGGCGGAACAAGCTGGAGCCACTGCAACCTTCGATGCGCTTTCATGAGCCCATCAGGAGACTCTGCCCGCAGAGGAGTTCGCCAAGATTGAAGCCCCCTCGTTGCAAAAGCTTCGTTTGGCAAGCAAATTAACAGGAAAACCTTGCATCATCTTGCATATACATGGCACATTCCTGTGCTTCCTCTGCTGACTCATTGCTGCCAGAGCCCAAATTGAATCAGTGATTGCGACTTTAGTGTATAGTGTAGGCTCTGTTCCGTGCGACTGTCTGACTCTCCGCTTTAGCTGGAATTAAACGATAAGACTATGACTATGTTATAGCTTGGGACGTGCGGAGGCTGACCACTGGACCTGGATGCATGTCTGGGAGTTTCCGAAAATAAGGGGTACCCTATTTTGGGGTCCTTTATAATAAGGACCCTACTATTTAGGGTACTATATTAGGGTCCCCTATTTTCGGAAACCCCCCATGTACTAACAGATCCTGCTGTTCAATTCGCAGCCAGGACTCTGAGAGCCTCACGATCCGCCCTGCTTCTTCGATGAACGGTCAGATCTTCGAACGATCCATGCATTGTTGTGCCGGCCGTTGCTGGGAGTGAGCACGAGGGCAGCACGTGTTGTTGAAGCAGCGAAGTCTCAGATGCCTATGCAGCAGCTGAAGGCATCACTTGACTGACACAGTGTGGGAATGTATGGGGACTTCCTGGACCGCCTGGAGCTTTGTGGCTCTCCTTACTTCGCAGTGCCGAGGAAGACTTGATGATCCCAGTGCACATCCTGAACATCCAGACCGACTCACGTGAGCTCAAGCGCCTAGCTCCAAAGCCTCTTCTCGGCACGAAGGTCTGATCTGTTGACTGGAACAGTGCAGACGGAACCCTTAGCCGGAAGACCTGAAAGCATAGCTTACCCGGTGCACCGGATCTTACTGAGACATGCCATAGGTACACGGAAGATGGCAAGGTTGACTTCGACAACCTTGTAGGGTTGATCGCTGCATGGCCGCAAGTGCATTCGGCATCATTCGGTCATGTGCTCCGATCGTACCACAAGCCTAGACACCCCACTGGCGACGATAGTTGCGTGTAGGGAGCGGGGGGAGATGCCGTCACAGGATGAACTTCGGCGGCTGCGACACGCTGAGAGCCGCAAGCAGGCCCACCAGTCTATCTCACCGATGCACGACTTCACGAGACGCAGTTCACAACAACAGCAACATCACATTCGAGCATCGCTTCAGCATGGGTGTGATTAGATGTGAGTAGCGCCAGCACAGTGCGAAGGCACAAAGAGTGAGAGCTGCAAGTCGTGCCTGCCACGAGTTTGGCCAGGCAAGCTACACTGAAGAGGAGATTCGGGATTTTCGGAGGGCCTTCGACGAGTTCGATGCCGACCACAGCGATGAGCCACTTGCCCGCAGCCACATCTCTGAGCTCTTGGAGGTCTGTCCAATGCTTCTAACCAGTCTAGCCTACAAGAAGCAGATCGAGCCCATAATTTCGTGATGCGATATATACATACATCTATATATATATATATATATATCATATATATATATATATATCATATATATATATGGTTATATACATATATATATATATATGTATACGTGTATATATATATATATATATATAGAAATACAGTTGTCAGTCGTCTTGCTCTTAGAATCTTCTCATGTTGTTTATGATCGTGTGCTTGTTGGGTCCCTCTTTGTCATGACATGACTGTCGTAGCTGAAGAAAATCAAGACGACAATCCTGCTGCTGATGATAGCGATGCTGCTGCTGCTGCTGCTGATGATGATGATGACGACGACAGTCGCACCGGTGGTGCTCGTGGTGGTGGTAGTACTGGCAGTCTAAAGGATTACGACCACCATTTTCACCACGTTTCACGCCACCGGCGTGAGCAGTGGCTGCGGGTTCATTGTTATTTTTATGTTTTCTTGAGTTGTAGTGTCTGAAAAGGATCGATCGAGACGAGCTGGCTGCCTTGCTAAAGCCGCTGGGCTTGGCGCCCCAGCTGCAGAAACAATTATCACGCATGCGTTCGGCGTGTAGCTTTCGAGCAGAAGTAGATTTGGGGTTCTGGAGGTGCCATGGTTTTGAATTGTGTTATAGGCGATGCTACTGTATAGGCCTCCCAGCATTAACACTCGGACCTATCTTTCTTTTCTGCCTCTTGCCGAGGGTTGTTAAAAATGTGGCCAGGGTTACTTGTCGTCTTGGGCACATGGGAGGGCCTCAAAAAGTAAGTGCATCTGCCACAGGAAGCCACAGCAAACCCGACAAGTGCCCGCAAAGAGCACAGCAGGTATTTGACAGGTCTGGTCACGACCTCGCATCTGCGAGGGTTGTGTCGGACATGCAAGCACGCTCCCAAACTAAAGTTCCGAGAAGAGCAAGCCGCCCTTATCCTCAGCACATCTCGGTCTCATGATGCGTGGCTGAGGAGCTGAAGACGAAGGATGACCAGAAGCGCCTTTGCTGCAGCATGCTGCAGGGCCCTGAACCCTCCTACGGCCAGGGCTTCAGGTTGCAGGTAAGGCCGGGTTCGCAGCATGATCAGTAGCAGTCGTCGTCGTGGCACTAGTACCAGTAGCAGTAGCTGCAGCAGTAGCAGCAGCAATAGTAGTACGTAGTAGTAAGTCGTCGTCGTCGTCGTCGCAGTAGTAGTTGTTGTTGCAGCCGCAGCAACGTAACAAGAAAAGTCGTTGTTGTGACTGAAGATGTAGCTGCTGTTATGTTGTCGTTGTAGTAGCAGAAGTGGTGGTGGCTGCGGTGGCGGTGGTGGTGGTGTAATGATGGTAGTAATGTCGGACAGCAGTTGTGTTAGATTGATGGCAGTCGCAGCAGCAGCTGCAGCTGCAGGCGATAGTCACAAGATTTCCAGTTTGGTGATTGCAGCCGTCGCATGTGAAAGCAGTACTCTTGCCAGTGGCTCCGTTAGCAGTCGCAGTTGTGTCAAATTGGAAGTTTGTGTTGCGGGTGCTGGTGATGTTGATGCCGCTGCGGCAGAACGCATTTCTGAGGCGTCTCATGAATCTGCTCAATGCTGCCCGTGCCTCCGCAGCGGAGAGTGGCGTGGATGCGGTGCAATGCCGCGTGCCCAGACATGTGGCAGACTCGATACTGCGTGAAGAAGAAGTCCTACATGTTCATGCTGTTTTCGCAGCTCGCTGTGCGCTGGAGACTGGCAGATGTGAAAATGACAAGGATACCCTTTGGTGGAAGTTTGCTTTCTGCAGTCAGGTGGCAAGATGAACACTGCCGTCGTCCGCTTTCCTGTGTACCTTCGCTTGAAGCTGGGTGATCCTTGTCCACAGTTCGCAGACTGCTAGCTAGGCCCCCAGAAATCGACAGTTCCCAGTTAGCCAGCAGGCTTGTGGTGAATCCGAGGTTTGTCCACATGTGCCGACTCCTCCAGCGTGAGAAGGAGGCCAAAGCCCTTGCCGAGGAGGAGGCGGAGGCGCGCCTTGAACCTGGACGAGTCATCTGCCAACAGCTTTGTTGCTTCGTGTCGGATCGAGTTCAATGTGGTAGGCTGCACGGTTGGGCTTCACCGAGCCACAGATCAAGAGCCTTCTTTGCAACATTACCGGGCGGTCCGATGCTGCATTGGATAAGGGCCGTGAAGTTTCATGCGTCTTCTTTTCGCCAGACTGACTGCCCCCTGCCTTAAGATTTCTGTTGCATCGACATCCCTTCGTCCGAATGTGCCCAAATCGCCTTGCTGAGTAGCTGCGCTGATGCATGTGGTAGGGGTGCAATGTTGTCTACAGCCGCGGCTGCGGTCACAGAAGTGATTGTGGTAGTAGTAGCAGTATTACCAGTAGTAGCCGTAGTACTGGGTAGTGGTTGCAGCAGCAGCAGCAGCAGCAGCAGTAGCACGAGTAGTATGCCTATCGACAGTGTCCTCATGTTGCAGCTGCTACTGTACTGTGTAGCTCATGTTGTAGCTGATATTATGCAGCCAGTATCTTATGGGTTGTACATGGTGGCTATTGTATATTGTATATATTTGGCGACTGTCACTATACTACAATAATTTACCGGATGTTCGCCGAGGAAGCTACACTCCTCATTCTGCTTGTGGGCTGCACGGTGCCTGGGGGGGGTTCCGGAGTTGAACCACGATGTGATGTTGTGGTTCGGGGATTTGTGTGGGTGCTTGGTTGAACTTGGCTGTACATGGTTTATTGAAGCAAAATCATGTAAGGGGCCCGACGGCCTTGCGTCTGCCTTTGGGTCTAGATGATGATTAACTCAACCTACTCCAAGTGAAGGCTTTTGAATAAGTGGACGGCGGCCGGACACAACAACAACAACAACAACAACAACTGTAAGCAGCATTATTTGGATCTTGGATGCAACATGTTCCAAAGCTTTACTTACCTGTCGCTATTCACGCAAGCTCGGCGGCCTGAGGCGCGTGCCGACTGAGGTAGTACAAAAGATCTGTTTAGGTAGTTATTTAACTTCCGGGTGTCAAAAAATTGCCGCTGTATCTGATCTCATACAATGGTAAACAAACGCTACAACTGAGTGGAGTAATTTTGTTGTTAGTTGGGACAACCCTTCTTCAGGACATGGGGAATGCCACAGGTACACAATATCAGGTGGTCATTCTCTTAAGCATTACGTGCGCATGCCTTGCAAAGTGTTGTCAGTTTCACGGCCACACGACTGGAACCCGGGCATTGCCCTCGCAGGCAAGGTCAGGTTATGCCTGAAGCTTTCAGCCATGAGAAAAAACCGCGTTCCCATGACAAGCGAGGTTTCGCATGTGGATGCCCGACTCCAATTGGTGCTCTTCGGAGTGTTTAGGATACCTTATCTGGATCGTTGAGCACGTTCTGCAGCACACGTTTGGTTTCCACCTCCTGCCGAGCAGGAACACAATCTGTACAAGGTGCGCATGTTTATCAACGTGGAACACGTTTCCTGTGTGCCTGCATTCATTCCTGTACATTTTCCCATCTACATACAGATTCTGAAACAAATCAGAGTCAACAGGTATCTGGCGTGAGTCCTCGATGCACGGGCGTAGGCATGCGCATGTTCATATGCATCTGCACGCCGGGGTGGGTTTCATGGAGTCATTGGTAACGTTATAACCTGAAACTGTGCGATGCAGCACGACGCATTGATTACAGAGGGGAATACCAGCGGCGTATTACTTGCTTGTCGGTCGCTGCAGGACCGATGAAGAGGCCAAAGAAAGAAATGAGGAGGTCAAGCGCGAGAAAGACATCTTAAAGGCCTTGCTGGGCGCTGGTTTGGATTTGCCCAACCGCCCCAAGTAAAGATGCACCGGTCCGCAAGGCGTTCAATGAGCTGGCCACTCTGCCTGTGGACAGCTTCTGCGAGTTTCTGAAGCAAATGAACTCCAGGCGCCTGAGGGCTGCAATCTGTCAACTGTCTTCTCAACATGCGGTGTTTGCTGTAGTTGGTGGTCGATGAACAGATGCGAAGCACGCCTTTGCAGCTGAGCGACTCCGCATGGGAACAACATACAGGGCATTCTACATAGATGCTCTGCGATCCCATTGCGCAAACGCTGCTGGATGCGAGGCGCTGGTCAGTACTGTGCCCTGTCGGAACATGTCTGACACTCAGGCTGTCTGACACCGACCTGGAGCATCTTCGTAAGCTGCCCGGCTGATGCACTCGATCCTGCGTGCTTCGAAGTTCGTCTGTAACGGTGACTGTGGGTGGTAATGCCTTAGGTCTTAGTAGTAGTCGTCGTCGGCGTCGTATTCGTCGTCGTCGTTGTCGTGGAGGTGGTAGTAGTAGTAGTAGTAGTAGCAGCAGTATTGGCAGTAGTCGTTGTCGTCGTAGTAGTAGTAGTAGTAGTAGTAGTAGTAGTGGTAGTGGTAGTAGTGGTAGTGGTAGTAGCAGTGGTAGTGGTAGTAGTGGTAGTAGTGGTAGTAGTGGTAGTGGTAGCAGTAGCAGCAGTGGTAGCAGATAGTAGCAGTAGCAGTAGTCGTTGTCGTTGTCGTCGTCGTTGTCGTCGTCGTAGTAGTAGTAGTAGTAGTCGTTGTTGTTGTAGCAGTGGTAGCAGTGGGAGTAGCAGTCGTAGCACTAGCAATAGTAGCACTAGCAGTAGTAGCAGCAGCAGTAGTAGGAGCAGTAGTATTATCAGGAGGAGGACGGGGAGGACGAGGAGTGGTGGCCGTGGGCGTAGTGAGTAGTGGTACTGGTAGTCATGGGGGCAATAGTTGTAGCTTAGTAGTGAGTGGCTGCAATAGCAGCAAGAAGCAGGTTAAGTCTAAGCCGCAATGATGGGCCGCCTTTCTGCAAACAGTGCTGGAAGCTGCTTTTGTGCCGACCTGCGGCTAAGATCAAGTCCAATCAACACGTTTCATGTATGTAGAAGGTGCTTCAACTCTTGTCCTTCCGTGTGTCGCGGAGACGCATGGTTTCTTGCGCTTGTTCTGTTCACGTGAGGTCTCACTGCTAACCTCGGTAGGTTTCGGGCTGCTGCTGCGAGTCCGAGTGCGAGCGTAACACCCGGTCAGCGCAGGTGCATGTAGTTTATGATGACTTAGATGTTGATGGCATGCTGGTATAGAGACGAAAAGAAAGAAGGATGACAGCGTCTGGAGGATGTGTCACTCCGATGTGAGTGAAGAATCATACTTAAACCTGCAATCCTCGCCTTGATGCTTAGTCCGACAATGAGACACGTAACAACTATTTGGGTTTCAGCGAACCTCGGCCAAAGAAACCGGTTACGGTAAGACTCAGCTGAGACACCCGAGTACTGCGAGAAAAGATGAAGGAAGTGTAGCAGGTGTCGCAAGCATCTCCTGCGGTATGAACCCCAGCATGGGCCTGGACGCCCATCGTCGAAGCCGTGATTCCTCAAATCCCAAGACTCCGTAATGTAGGGGCCTCAATAATTAAAATAGGGTTTTGGGGCCCATTCTACTATAATTACATAATAAAACAGTAGAGGTAGTTATACTATAATCATAGTAAGGAAACCCCCAAAACAGTATAGGTAATTATTTAGGCCCCTACTGTATATTAAGTGCCTGAGTCAACCTTAGCCCAGGCTCCTGGCAGCTCTCAGAGACGTTCAGGCACAAGGCCGACTGGCTTTAGCATGTAGGACACGTGCCACTTTGGGTATCTTGAGATGTCCGTAAGTGAGAATTAGACATGTATACATGTGTATGTATATGTGTATATATATATATATATACACGCACACATACATATATATATATATATATTGCATTTTTTTTATTTTTGTGTTTTCCAGCTCAGTGGCTCTTGATGAGCCCTTGTTTTTTTGCCTCCCCAAACCTCGCCTGACCTCGTCGAGCGCGAGTGCTAACACAAATGCATATATACATATATATATATAGAGAGAGAGAGAGAGATAGATAGATAGATATATAATATGTATGTGTGTGTGTGTAAGTATGTGCAACATGTAGACAACAGCATCAACAACAAGACATGTACACGCGTACAGGAGTAGTTTTCACGCGAAGCCACACATAATTATGCACACATCCACTGTTTCTAAATATTCTGGCCTGTCTGGAGATGCTGTGGAGTAGACTGTCAAGTTACTTTGGATGGAAGAGTGGTAGTGGCACTGTGCTACAATGTGGTTGGTCAGAGTTTTCTGTGTGATTGGTGACTGGCCAGCCTCAGTCCTCGATTCTGACCGCAAGTTGAGTTGGTCGATGGATGGCACAACAGTACAACCCACTGAAGAACATTACTGGGCCATTGTCGCTCTCCCCTAGAAGTTGATGGACAGCTGATAGATACCAGAGGATTTGCGAGTCTCCTGGTATGTGTCACCATGTCTGGCTGCGCGATGTGTGGAACATACAAGCTCAATCCAACACAATCTCGGGCTGTTCTCTCACAAAAAGCCCGATGGATTCCAGAGGATGTACGATTCTGCTGGTGTGTGTGTGTGTGTCGCCTTTATTTCTTGCCTGTGCGAACTCTACGAAACAGTCAGCCGGTACACCGAGTTCTGAGACGCAGTTGCATGAGTCGCCTGACGATGGCTACGAGCGCTGGCCTGCAATTTGTAGTTTGTAGTTCTGTGATGTTCAACGCAGTAACTCATGAGTGCCCCTAGCGTATCGTGAGCCAGGGCACCTTGTAGGAGGATTCGGGTGCCTACAGTTCGTTGGCTTGCAGCCTGCTCAATACGATGAGTTTAAATACACGGGCGGGAGAAGCAAGTAGAAGGACACATAGCCGGATAAATCTGGTGTAACATTTCTCCAAAACAAATGGCGCGTTCTCTCCGGCCGATGACTATGCTGTTGTTCCGACGCAACTATGAGGCCAGCACGTCGCTGGAAGAATACTGGCGCGCAGTCAGCTTTCGCACAGGTACTGGCACAAAACTGCTGTTTACTTGACTCACGTCGGCTCCACACCCTGGCGGCATTTGACGTGCGGTGCACCCCCCTTTAAATATCGACATTTTTGACAGGGCCATGGCTTTAAGAAGCCTCATCCTAAATTTTCCATCAAGAAGCGCAACCCCGCCAAAATTCGGATCCAGCTTCGACAGACAGAGGGCCAGAAAGAAGCAAGCATGAAGACAGCATAGAGCAAAGATGGAAGCCGCTATAAAGCAGACGAACTTGCGGATTTTCCTAGAAAGCCCTCAAGATGAAAAGACCTTCGATGCGCATAAGAGTAGCCCTCGTGGTACGTGACATCTTGCCAAGCCGTGATCATGCAACCCTTGTATTTTTGAACTATGCAAGGAAGCGGATACAGTCGAGACCATACCGTGTCATGCTAATCGCGATGCCTGAAATCAAAGCTTTCAATCCACACCGGAACAGTTGGATGAATCGAAGAGTATGATATCAAAACCCTGCTTCGCGACAAGCTCATAGATATTCCGTACTACCTGTGCGTATATGTGTGTATGTACAGCATTGTACACACACACGTGCTTTTATGCATGCGTGCGTATGTACCGGACATTGATATTTCCAAGTGTGCTTATGCGTTTGTTTGTTGTTTGTTCTGACCCGTTCATACATGCACACATACTTACGTACCTGCATGCATACATACGTGCAGACCGATCATTACTTTCGTGTTGATGCAATTGTACAGCAGATTCAGATCACGCACACGCACACAGATACAGGGGGCCCTGTGACAATATTCAGTCTGAGCTCAAAAGGGAACCGAACGTCTGCAGGCAATGCATCCAAAAATGTGTATGTGTTTATATACTACAGGGGTCATCACGAGTTCTAAGGTGACGCTGCTCTGCTCCACGAAGTTGCATCCCTTCCGATGACGAACGATCAGGACCCCATGCTATGTTGCGCGTTCTGCGTAGTCCTGGTATCTTCGGTTTTGTGGCCGGGCAGAAGGGGAAAGTCGTCAAGCTCGGGACCCGGGAACGTTGCTGGAAGGGATGCAAATAGCCAAACCGGGAGAGGAGTTCTTTATGGAAGATAGCACCGCATGGGGAACCTATCACTGTGTCGTAGATTCGCTGCTTCACATGAATTGCGAAGGATGGTGTCATCCGCGCAGAGCTTCGGGAGGCGCAGACGTCCTTCTTGTGCCGGCTTTCTGTGACCATGATAACGCCTCAAGTCAAAGAGGGTTTTGCCGAAGCGAAGCTGAGTCCGCGGCCGTACCATGAGGAAAGTGCGGTAAGTTCTGCATCCATTGGCAGAGGCCAAATTTTGAAGGTTTGCGTAGGTTCTAGGCTGCGTCTCCTGATTGGTTTCTGGAGCAGCACACGCCGCTGTGCTTATTGCTCATGTAAGGTTGGCTTTCCGCTTTTTGTGCGCTGCTTGCGATGGATGATTGCCAACGACTTCTCTGACTCCCAAGAGGTCATCAAGCTCTAGAGCGAAAGGCGGGGAAAGCATTGAGACACGCCTGGAATGCACATATTGCAGAATCTGTACACCACGGGGTGCTCAAATGATTGGAGCCGCAAAAATGGGTTGTCCTGACGCCAGAAATTGGCGACCTAGCTTTCATAGGAGCACTGTCAACATGCATACCACAGTGGCTCCAATCGTGGGATGCTCCGGCTTTAGAACCTTCAGAGGTTTCGGATTAGGGTCGTGGAGACTCTTGGAATGTCTCCTCTGCATTTCGTTAACTTTCAGAATCGGCAGTCTGGTAGTTGGCATTGCACGTTCTTCTGCAGCAAGTGGTTCCGTGCTCGAACGTGCCGTGAGAGCTAGCACTGTCAGTCTCATTGTCACGGTGTTTCCCTTTAGTTGCCGCTGCCACTGCATTGTTCCGGCGGTTGGACCATAAGTGATGTGTCATCGCACTGCTTCCTATCTACCTTGCCGCCCTGGCCCCGCAGGTTGGATGCCGAATCAGTGCACAAACACGACCCAGCCACATGTCGGTACGACTGACAAAATTTGGGGACGTCGCACACACTCGGATGTTTTGTTTTCCGCTTCTCGATCGCGATCTGCGATGAGGGTTGCCAGTGGCGGCTCCGTTCTTCGTCGAAGACTGCAGCCATAAAACTGTTTCGACAGACGTAAGAGCGCAACTCAGTACTTAAAATTTCAGACAATAGCCAGGGCTTCTTATAAGGGCTTGTGCAGTTCTGCCGCCTGTGATGGCAAGAACTCCTGCCCGAAAAGGGCATGCTGCTAATGCTAACAGCAATTGCCTGGTGGTTAGCAGGCAAGCTGACTCGGTCCCTGGGTTGCCAAAGGCCCCGGCACCTCGAAGAATTTGTTTGTTAAGATTATATGCCGAATATGCTGCAGATGCAGCATATGTGCAGGTAATAGCTGTGGTTTCAAGGCCAACAGCTAGCAAAGTTAATTGCTCCAAAAGTGTCCTGCACCGGCTCTGCTGCTTGGTGCTGCTTGTGATTTGATTGATCTGCCAACTTTGCATCATACATAGAGCTGTGCTGACTCTGGATGCTCAGAGACAAGAATAATAGAAGGCCGAAATGACCGGCCAATCGATGTTCCGACTCCCCCACTATTTTCAAGTTACTCCCTACCGGCAATCACAAGATTCGAACCGATGGTGCATGTTGAAAACGGCCTTTGTCGAGTCCGGCGCTGGCAACTGTCATGGGCATACCGCGGTTGACGCAATGGCTTCGCAGCACCTTCCCCGATGCATTTGCGCTAGAGGCAGGTGCTTGCACGCTGCACATTGACTGCTTTCAACGTGGTTTGGAGAAGGAATGCTCGCAGGGCACTTACACAGACAGTGACACAAGCAGCCGCTGTCCACCATACCTTCATCCATCCGTCAGTGCATGTTCGAAGCCCCAGCTATCTATCCTCCTCCCTCCTGGATTTCAGGGGGATCCATGAACTCGCTTTCCAGGCAGATCTCCAAGCCGAGCATGTGCCCCTCGGTCCCGAAGCTTTTGGTGGTTCTTTGTGCCATTTAGAGCCGCGCTTGCGGCCGTATGAGGCTCGGGCCCGTCCTTGTTTTTGTGATGGCTTTTGCTTATTCTTACTATCTGCTATTATTACTCTTGCTATCGTGCGTCTCGTTGTTGCGATTATCGGTCGTGAGACAGATGCCTCAATCATGTGTTGTCTGGTAAGGACTCCTCAAGCATTTACGGGAGTAGGATCTCGTTGCTCAAGGCGGCGTGCTTCCGAGGTATCTGGACGTGAACTGCATACTCCACGAAGCTTTGGGCGCCTTGGGCGGGTCCGCCCCAGAGGCCGGCTAGGATTCAGCAGTCCTCGAGCCTCGAGTGGCTAGTAATGGCAATTGCTACTCAGGAAATAGCTATTCTCATAGTTTTGTCGTTAATATTGTAGTAGGAGTAGTAGAGTAGTAGTAGTAGTGGTAGTAGTCGTCGTCGTAGTAGTCGTAGTAGTCGTAGTAGTGGTGGTGGTCGTGGTGGGAAGAGCAGTGTAGGAGGAGTAGGTGCAGGAGTAGGAGTGGAAGTGGTGGTAGAAGTAGAAGTAGTGTGTAGCATGCAGCAGCAGTAGCAGTAGTCGTCGTCGTCGTGGTGGTGGATTTAGTAGTCAGTAGTCGTGGTGATGGTGCTGGTGATGGTGCTGGTGCTGGTGCTGGTGCTGGTGATGGTGCTGCTGTTGCTGGCGCTGCTCCTTGCGAGCGACTCAAACTCAAACCGCACGGCTTTAAACCCGAAGACTTGTGTCGACCATGAAGGCTTCCTGTGGTACCGCCTCATTCGCCTTTCGAGCCGAAAAATTGATGCGTTGAGTGTCACAGGAAACGTTCCTACGGCACGTTTTTCAGCGGCTGGAGATCATCTTGGCGCAGTGTCCTGGCTCCGAGATGTGCAGCAACTACCACGCCAGATAGATCCCGAGGGCATGTGGTGCCAAGCTTTCACCCACCATTCAAGGATTCACTGCAGCGCTTCTTTGTATCTGGCCTTGGACGGCGCAGCGGCAGCTGCCAAGGCCCAAGCAAAACCAGAGTCTCCCCCTCGAGCTAATGCTTTTTGCACACTACCTGCTTCCGATGTTTTCGTATTTTTTGCAGCTGTGCCGCTGCCTCCTCGCAAATCTACCCCTAAGAGTAGTCAAGTCTATGCCCATTCCGGTGTCCTTGCCACTGCTTGGTCTGCCAGGGGGATCAAGGGCCGGGTCACGCGAGTTTTTCCCAAAGAGATTGCTGCAGCGTGGGGCCCGCGGATCATCGCGGAATTGTGGCTGACAGGTAACGGAATTGTCCATGTGCGCAATAGCCGACGACTCCGTTCTCCAACAGCAAACCATCACTTTCTCGCCCCAGCGGTAGGGCCACATCTCTAGCCAGACTTGTCCGCTTAGCTCCGGCTCCGACAGGCCATGTTGGTGGAGGAGTTGAACCTTCCAATTCTTCACGACAGGGCCTTGCAACATTCGCCTGCCCTTTCGAACCTCCGAAAGAAAAACCATAGCTGGCAGCTGAATGATTCTGCCATTATGTTGAAGTGCCAGCGAGGCCCGGCCTATCCATTGCGATATACTTGCCGGCATTGACCATGTCTGTCGCTGCAGTATCCTTTCGTGATTCGACCTGATCCTGCAGTGCATTCCATGTGCTTCGGCCTCGAGAATCGTTCAACGATCAAAACTTGATACCTGAAACACAGACCATTCGTCCTTGTTTTTGGGCCTTCTGCTGCCCTGCAGCGACAACTGTGTAAGGGTATCCACAAAGCATGGGGAGGTTCAGTGGAGGTCTAGTTGAGACCAGATTGCGGGCTCTTGGTGCTGTGGTGTTGGGGACTCTGCCTCTGGAATGCTGAGTGTTTCTCTGGCATGTGGGACGCTGACACGTGGCGCTCTGAGGAGCTTGCTGTGAGGCTGAGGATGGTTACGTGGAAGAGACATGCGATGTAGTGGTTGTGTTTGTGGTCGCGTGTAATAGGCATGCGACTCCGCTCGGAGCCAATGTGCTAGGAGCCTTGAGAGTGCGACGTCGTTGGACCTAAGCCTCGCCTGCTTGTCGAGAGTGAGTGCTAAAAAAAATCCACAAAGCATCAAGGACAGTACTTGCGTTAATGCCATCAGATCAAGAATAAAGTGCTTCACCTTCTTACAAGGTGCAAATCAGCCAGAAGAGTATCGCCCGGAGGTGTCCGAGCAACGGCGACGTCGGCGTGCCAGGCAAGAGCAGGCCACCACAGAAGGAGGCGAGATGTCTTGAAGATACATCGAAAGCCAGCAAGTCTAATCAGTATCGTGTTTGACGGGCAACTGCGAAACTTTGAGGGTTGCTGTAGCTGGGCAGCTGAATGCGCGTGCTTGATGTCGTTCGATTCGGAGTGGCGAGGGGAAGTCAAAATAAAAAGGGATCAGAAGGCACGCAGGGCGCTGCAGCATTTTTGGCTCGCAGCTTGGCTGGACTGAACAAGCTGGCATCATCCGTTTGTTGCCCGAATGCAACCTGGCAGCCTTGGTCTGCATCGCGGATTGCCGTGCACGGGACAGCCTGAAAAGAAAGTATTTCTCGTAGCCTTTGAAATTGAGTTCTCTGTGTGTGTGTGTGTGCGTGTTTTGCTGTGCCGCGTGAATCTGTGAGGGCGAAGAAGCGACAGAGATGCAGCGATCTGTTTCTTGGCAATGCCGTTTAATGCACCCGCATACTCCCGCAAGTAGGCACTAGATGGCACTACGCATGCCTAGCTTTTGTCCACGTTTTGGCCGCTGTATGCCGCAGAAAATGCCTCTGGGCCAAATAGACATGACAGCTCATAGAGTTTGTGATCTGCGGCACTATCTCAACCTTGGCTTCCTGAATCGCCTCGGGACGTCGCGGAGCGGCGGCGCAAGTTAGGTTGGACCACCTCCTGCCAAAGCTCTTTGCCGAGCAGAACGAGGACCAGGCGCTGCGTCTAGGCCCCTCGGAGAGCATGTCAGAGAGGGTCAGAGAGGTGAGTAATGTACGGATAGATCATGAACCTCCTGGCAGCCAGAGATGTACGGCACCGGCCGAGCTCGTTCCTAGGCCATCTAGCTCTGATCTCCGACGACCCAGACAACGCTGAGAAGCTGTCCCACAACAAGAGGCCACGAGCACAGGAGTAGCCGAGTAGCCCTGTAGTTTGACATGTGTCGAGAGGAGTTGGGGAAGCTCAGAGCATGCACTCAGTCTTTCGACGTTTTTGATAACAGATCTTTGTAAATGGTAGGTACTGTGCCATGCAAGGAAGCATTTGCTTGAGCAGAGACGGGCAAGGTTCTGAAAATTCAGTTTTGACGCTGACAGTGGTCAGGGAACGATGCAATTGTACTGTGTCTTCCTGTTGCGTTGCTATGCGTTGCTTCTGCATGAACTTTGAGGTGCAAGAATGTACTGGACGTATGAATCCTGTCCGCAAGTGGGCGTTTCAAACCACCATGGACAGGTCGTGTAGCGATCGAGAAGTGCAGTCGGGCTGTCGGATGCAGTCCTGGGTGATGTCTCAGGTTGGCAGGTCATAGGCAGCGACATCCTGACCTCACATGATGACTCGATCAGCATCCTCGTGAACTTGCTGGTGCCATCCGACTCTTGGGCTGAGCTATGCCCCGATTCCTGGCCCGCAGACACTTCGCGGTTCGGCGCCAGCCTAGGCGACCCGGTCGGAGGTTTTCCGCGGCCTGGCCGAGTTTGCAAGGGAGAAGGGGAGCATCGAGATGCTGTTGAAGCATGCCGCTTCGCATGCAAACGAGTTGCTCCATCTCCACTGCCCCTTGCTTTCAGATGCCCAGATGTCTTCCTTAACCCAGGTTGACATGCCAGCCCTCGGACACCACTTGGTCAAGGCCAGAGCTTTCGTCACTTGGGTTTGGTCAACAAGGTACACAACAAATGGTTTGGAACAGTGCATGCGTGTGCTGCCGCATCCTGGTTGAACCGATGAAGAGGCGGTCAGCCGATGTGGGAATGTGGAAGACCGGGATGTTGCACGAGACTTGCCCAACAGACGCAAAGGCTTCTGTGATTTCGCTTGTGATGCCTGTGCAGTCTGTAGGGCCATGGCTCTGACAGCTAAGAAGCGTGCAGCCTGACAGCGGCATCCATGGAAAATGCTGAGGCTGGGTAAGCGACCGCTCTCTTGCATCCTTCGCGGCCAGCAAAAACTCATGCCAGTGTGCCGCGCGCATGCAGGATAGGGTTGCTTTCTGCAACTTCATCATCAGCCAAGATGGTGGGGACTCCTTCATGCTGAAGCTTTTCGAGCCGTGACACCTTTTGGTAGACGTGGGTGTTGTTGGGATGTGATGAATTCCTGCTGGAGCCAGCATGATGCCTGCCTATGTGCCCTACCGATGCGATCCAAGGATGCATGGCCATGGCAGTTTGGAAGTCTGCAGCTTATTGAGACCCTTGAAACCCAGCCGCAAAGCAGCGAGGGGCTCTAAGTCTCCAGAACAGCTCTCTCCGTCTTAGACTCCCTAATGAGTAAGTCACAACAAGGGGAAGTGGAGGATGCTGGTGATTGAACCTGATGTATCATCAGCTTGCCGCGTACCATGCTCCAATCATTATAGCATCCGAACGCACAATGAGACGAAAGCCTTCGCACGTCCCCAGGGGTGCGACAGAGTCAACCCTGGTTTTGGCTATGCTGTCCACCTGTACCGGACCATGTTCCCTGTGTGATACTCCGTCCCTGGTGGCGCGAAGATTGGTACTCGCACACACCGCCAGCTCAGGACAGCTTCCTGATCAGTCCCGTGGACAACTTGATGTGGGATGCGCAAACAGCGAACAGGCCTCTCAGAAAGCGAGTTGCTCGTTTCATTGGAGCATGAAGCCGTTAGCAGTAGCTGGCTTTTCTGAATGGAAGAGATCCTCAGCATTGGAGCCAATCCCATCACACATTGGAGGCAGGAGTTCGCCGAGAAGTGGCTCACTTTCCTGATTCGTCAGTTCCTGGAGCCTGCTGCAGAGAGCACCACTTCGATGCTTCTAGGGCAGAAAATGAAAGCGGGCGGTGCGATGGTCTTTTTCATTCGATTTGTGTGCCCTGGTCAGTCCGGATGGGTGTAGTAGGCATACGTCATGTGGCCGCCAGCCAAGAAGCCTCACTAGGCAGTCAATAGGCAGCTAGGGGTTACGAGCGCTGGACGTCGACCATTTCTCGACCAGTCCGCAATGCAGGAAGAACCGCAGGCCACTTTACAATGCAACCTCGCTGAAAAAGGACCATCCACAATCATTCGACAATGGCACTACCATCCAGAACAAGGTCCCAAAGCCACCCAGACAATTCTGAACCTCGTCCGAGCATTCTGCAACCCCAACTTTAGGTCGGAGGCCTGAGGTCAGTTGACCATCCTGAAACCCGTCGACTGAGGCACGCCCTCGGCGATACTTTGCAAGTCAAGGATAGCACCTTCCGGAAGATCCTCCTGACACAGGTGCCCGAAGCAATGCCTGGCACATATTTCTTGCAACACGTGCTTTTGTGGTGTGTGGGCCCTATATAGAAGGGACCCTATTTTAGAAGACTACCCATATCATGCCGCTAATGTAGAGGTTTTGTGGGATGAGGAATCATGTTGCGAGCCGGTGGGGCCGCTCTTTTTCAAGGATGTTTTTCGGTAGTGGCCAAAGAGGAATCGATCCGCCTGCCCCGTGATGCCACTGCTGCAGGAATCCTTGTTGGAGCACTTGGTGTCCAACTTGGTTGTCAGCTTGCTGACGAACAGACAGGATCATTGCAGGATTCGTGCCTTTACAAATCTGGCTTCAGACACCTGGAAGAGAGCGAGAGCCTGACTGAGTTCTCCTTGAGACCATACCCCTTGCCGATCATGAGTTCTGTGGCACCGGGCCCATGAGGATGTGCAAGGCTGTATCCATCGCAGATCCCCACATGTTAAAGCAAACCAGTGAGAAACGTCAAGATGCTTGGTGAAGGAGCTCCCGCAATGCAAAGATCCTATAAGGGCCATCGCTAACACCTGCACAACCTGAGGTGCTGCGATGTATGCTGCCCTGCACGTGGCTTCATCCCGCGAGCCGTCAGCTTTGCCGCTCTTGGCGAACCATGCGCGCTTCGAACCTTCGCCCTTTTGGAAATCCTTTGCTCAATGCTTTTGTGAAGCTGAGCTGCTGCCATTTGCAGATGCCCCGTCGCGACACTCTTTCTTGAAGTGCAGACGGGATTGAGAGCTCCGAGTGGGCGCAAACTTGCTGATTGGACCCGGCGGGCTTCCGACCTGAGGACACGCTGGTGGCGTTGGCAGTCGAGAACATGCAGCTCGCTATGGAGGCGGTGTGCAGGGGTTTTGCATTCATTTTGGAGCTTGTCGTGTGAATTCTGCATCCGCACAGGAGGTTGGTGAGAGAAAAGAGCACGACATCATTAACGTGCTGACGATCTTTCTTCAGAATGAAGCAACCAAGAAAGCAGCAGCTCGGCAGCAGCACTGCCGTTGAAAGCAGTCTGGCCAAGGAAGCCCCCAGAACTCCCCTCTGCTTCACGGAGGGGCCTGTGCAATGTTGTGCACATGCCTACAGTGGCCCACAGTATTTAACTTCAGACCAAGCTGCCGACCTTGGAACATTACCTTTCCTCGGCCGACGTCATGTGATAGATGTTTCGAACACTTGGAACTCGTCCAACATCGCGTCTTCGTCGACTTCTGCCTGTTGCTTCTTTGGCTCACAGAAGTTTGTTATTGGTCAACGCTGCCACGACGATGACGTCGCCGGGGTCCACAGGCATGTTCCTGGCCATGGTGGCTTCACTGCAGTGGGACATGTTCGTGCCTATCCTGTGTTGATCTCGAAGATTTAGAACTTACCATAGTTTTGAGTTGCTCCCCGCCGATTTCTCGGATGCCGATGTCGATGGTCAGGTGGCATAGACAAGCCACTCAACAAGCTGGCAGCCACGTTCATGGACGAAGCCCCTGCGAAGCAGAGGCAAGCTAAATCCACGCAGCAGCTGCAATGCATGATTTCTCTGGCTGAGCATGATAGATAGTGTTGACACAGTCAGGGTCGAGCGTTTGTCCCTGAGGTCTGCCGAAGCTGCAGCGCCGGAGAAGGGTCAAAGCAAAACTCAGCTGACCAACTACATTCTCAAGGAGCTGGCCTCGGGCCTCGGGCTCATGAAACATCTGTTTGCTGTGTGTTGAACAAGCACCCTGAAACTGAAACCTCGCCCCGTCCGAGTCCGACTGTCCGGTATTAGCTGCAAGAGTCGACAGCAGACCGAGACTCAGCTGGGCTCGTGCCATTGTGGTTCAAGCATTGTTGGATCGTACCGCGCACCACCGATTGAAAGTTGTCGGTAGTTCCTGCTTCTGCAATGGAAGCGTTTGCCGAAGGGCGTGTGGAGCAGCGACTCCAAGCCGCCTTGGAACGGGTTCGGGTCATATTGGATGCAACCAAAGATCCACAAGCAGCTGGCGACGTGCACCATCAGTACGAAGATAAGTACTTGCTGGTGGAGGGCGTGACCAATGCAGCAGTTGCATCACAACTGAACTCGTTTAGCGCCCTGGGCCTGACCTTGCAGCATGTGCAAAAGCTTCAAGAATGGTCCAAAGACAAAACCGTGTCGTTTCAATTCAATGCCGAGGAGGCATGCAGTTACCTCCGAGAGGAAACTCGGGAAGAAGAAGATCCGACAAGGCATGTCGAAGAGGTTTCAGTTCGCGGTGCTTTGCAGGCTGCATTCACAAGCAAGGTGGTGACGAAGATAACAGAGTACTTCTGGAAGTTCGAGGCAAAGTATGAACTGGTGGCAATCAGAGGAGTTGGCGAAGCTGCTGATGACCGGCTGTGCTTGGTGACACGTACAGGGCAAGCAGAACTGATAACATCGGCGAAGCAATCCCCGCGCCCAGAGGTGAAGAAGCCAGCGGCCAAACTGCAGGTGAATGTGAACTGGCTCTTCCGCAATTTAAAAAACGACAAAGCTGTGCCTGGCTTCACCGTGGACCGGTTGGCCAAACACTGCAAAACTCCGAGACGCAACGAAGATGTTCAGAAGGCATACAACCACTGCGAGCGCGTTGCCGTCTTCGCGAGGCAGGTATCCACCTACCTCTCCGGGCTCTTCCAGGTACAGACTGCTGCCAAGAAGTCCCTTGACCTCGGGGCACTCCGAGATGACAGCATTTTCAGCCCTGTTCTTCCCGTTATGATCCAGAACTCACAGGAGGCAATCGAAGATCTGGGTCCTGCCAGCGAGAGCATCGTCCTTGTGGAGGCGGTCCATGAGGAGGCCCATAGCAACGTGCAGCTTACGGTCCAGGACTCGAATCGACTGCTTCAGGAAGAAGTGCGGAGTCTGAAAGGGAAGCAGGCCGACCTTGCAGAGGCCTTCCCAGAAGAGGGCCTCGCGACTAAGGCAGAGGCCTTTGCAGTCGTCACCTTGCAGCATGTCGCCCGGGTCTGTTCCAGCTGGGCCGACGCAGTCGGCTACGTAGAGGACATGCTCCGGAAGCAGTTGGCTGCCGCCATTGGGAAGGAGGTTTCGCCTGGAGATTTTGCCGCGTACATGAGGTTTCACTATCGCAAACTCTTTCACGAGGCATTCCTGCCGAAACCTCTCTGCTTCTCTGTGCGCCGTTCTGACACGCACAGCCCGGAGGGAACAGTGAGTATAGAGGAGGCAGTGGTTGGGCCTGGTGGCGACTCCAACATCAACAGTCCCATCGTCACCATGGTGGCCAGCACCGCTGACTCAGCTCCCATGACCTTTCCGCTCAATGCTTCGACGAACGTGACTTTTGCTGGGGAGAGGCACCTTCACGCCTGGCTCTCGCACCAGTTCTCGGGACAGTCGGGCTGTGAGCTGTCGTTGGTTGCGCGTGCAAGGCAGTTCAGCTCAATGCTGGTTCTGATCGGACGGGTTTCGTCTGCAACCAGCTTTGACCCGAAATATGCCGCCATTATCCAGAACAAGGATGAGCTGACCATACCCCTGAATCTGTCGACGATTCCATCCCCAAAGGAGTTCAAAGACGCCATTGAGTCTCTTTCGCCAGAACAGCAAGCCTTCGCGAAAGCCTTCCGCGCGATGCAGCTCGAGTCGACCTTGTTTGGCGTGCTCGTGGTGCAGATTAAGCCACAGCTGGAGCGTGTGCTGAATCTGGCAGACGACAGCTTGACGAAGGAGATCAAGCTGACTCAGGATTTGATGCAGCTTTTCATCAAGTATCAGATCCCCAGTGACTTGCTCTCTTTCGATGCCACCTCGGGCGAGGCGGAGATCTTGAATCCCACAGCAGCCGAGAGGTTGGAGCGCGTGAAGGGGCACGTGCAGGCGATGCACGAGATGCTAGCCCAGGCGAAGCAAGAAGACCTCCAGGAGCGCGAGAGGGAGGTTCTGTACAACGATCCCTTCGCGAACGACAGAGGATCCCAGCGCTCGATGGTCAGGGAGGCACTCGTCTTAGGTTCTGCTCCGATGAGACAAAGCGTTCCCATCATGGATTGCGGCGCCGCACCTTCAGCTTCTGGTGCGGCGGGCATGGTGATGCCATCTCCACCTCCACCCCTCGGTGCAGCTCCGGCTCCGGCCGCTCCGGCCCCGGCACCACGGCCGCAGCAGCCGCCGCAGCCGACGCAGAGGTTTCCCGAAGCCAGCTCGGTCGGGGCCAGCTCAGGCACCCGGGACTACACGCAGGTGCCAGTTGAAATGGACCAACGCTTTGAGAAGCTGGACACCGACAATTCCCTCCGGCCCACCATCATCAACCCCGGAGAGCGGTGGACAAAGCGATCTCAGAAGGCGCTGTTGGCCAGCCCTTCCACGTCCCATTTGTCCAAGGCAGAGCAGAAGACGGAAAGAGAGGCGGCTTTCGACCTCCTCGATGCCCTCACGAAGTCAGGGGCCTTGCCTTTGACGCATGCGAGCCTGCATGTGGTCATCGCAGCAACGCATTGCTTCGACAAGACCGTCACGGAGACCGTCATCCAGAACAACATCAATCCCATTGCGAAAGTTGAGCGATCCTCACTCATCATGGCCTCCACGGTGCACCAGAAAGCGGTGCCAGACTTAATCAAAGACGAGCAAGTCCAGAGAGTGACGGACACCTCCCCACAGCTCTTCCTGAAAGACGATCGCTGAGAGCGGAGCCTCAACAAGGGCTTCAAGCTCGCCGGGAATTGCCTAAACACCCTAAACTATCCTACACATCTGTCAGCCCCATAGCCTCGGACCCAAAACCTGGAACGGCGCCAGCCGCACTGCTTCAACTGCACAGGCCAAGGCAGTGCGAGCAGTCAGATCCGCGCACGAGATTGTTTTCAACCCTCCCAAGATCAATTCGAAAGTCCTATCCGTTGAGGCAGCACCCGGGGGGATTTAGGTTAGCATTGCCGGAAATCTTCGAGTTCGTTTAGTCAAGTTTCCTGGTTGCTGCTTGAACACCAAAGTCTCTGCCATGCCAGCAGGCAGAGACTTGTCGGCTACTCCCTGCTGTACAGACTCAGCCGCAGCAGCCGTCGAAAAGGATCCCTCGAATCATTGCCTGTCAGTGCCGAGTGTGACTTTCGAAGGTGGGTTCGCCGAGCGTGCCGGCATTCCTGCTGTGTGTGAGAGTGCCTGCCCTCTACATTCTCTAGAGTGTCAAAGTGGTTTGTAGCAGAACTGCACGTTAAGACAAACGTGTACTAACCCTAGTTAGTTAGTTGTTCATTGCTGCTGTGCCACAGGAGCTTGAGAAGCTGACCGAAAGTGTTGACTTCCTCATATTCCCCGCCGACCTGAATGCAGGAGAGCGAAAGCATGCACACGAGGCGATGTAGGAGTCCGCGGGAAATTACAGGGTACCATGTAAAAAAAGTTTGAGGCCTTCAGGCACCAGGCTGGATAATCAGGCAGCAATCTATATCCGGTTGAGGGAAGGGCCCGACTGGCGTGCGAACCCCCAAGTCTCGAGGTGGTGAAGTCTCAGAAGCTCATGTCCGTCTCCACCGGATCAGGCCTGGTCTTTCGTGGGGCCTGTGATGGCTTGCGGCATTTAGGGCTGTGGGCTTTCCACGATCAGCATCCTGGCTTTGACGAAGGCGAAGTGCGGCAACTACAAGTTTTTCGCCCCGGGACCAAGAAGGCCGCGAAGCGGAGAGGGAGAGGTACTGTACTGATCTGCACTGCACTTGCACGTGTATTCTCGCTGCAAACTTCCCTGTTTGCCTTTCCGTGAGAACGGTGATGTCATGAAACTGAAAGGTTCGGGCGGATGCGCACCTGCTTATCCAACGCGAGGAGGGCAAGGGCCAGTCAGTGCAGTATGTCTGATCGTTCTGCATTGCTGATGCCCTCGCGGATCGCAGGAGCAGCTCAGTCGGAAGCTGTCGTCTTTGCTGCGCCACAGCGCCGAGCAGCGTGGGATAGGCGAAGACAACTTAATCGTATACGCTCGTTACGCCCCGTAAGTTCTTAAGCCGCAGAGCCCCGAAACTTGGCGGCTGTTGGGGCAGATCCCTTTCGGCAGGCATGCTCCAAGATGGGTACGCGCCACTGTCCACGGTGCTTGGTCTTCGGGAATTCTCTCGCTTCAAGCACACTGCCGAAGAGGTGGAGGAGCTTGTGGAGAGGGATCAGAAGAGACGCTTTGAGCTCACGACAAGGGCTGGCGAGATGTGGATTCGCGCAACCCAAGGCCACACCATGCGCTCTGTGAAGGATGATGCACTTCTGCAGCCTATGGGGCTTGAAGAAGCCCAGGCGGTAGAGAGCTGTGTCCACGGGACCTACATGATGCTCTGGGAAGAGATACTGAACAGCGGTGGTCTTTCCAGGATGGCTAGGAACCATATCCACTTCACCACCTGCACTTCGACCAACACTGTGGTCAGCGGCATGCGAAGCGACTGCGAAGTCGTCATCTACATCTCGTTAACCCGCGCTATGGCCGCCGGCCTCCAGTTCTTCCGGAGCACCAACGGTGTCGTGTTGACGCCGGGCGATGAACTCGGGAAGGTCTCAAGCAAGTATTTCGACAAAGTTGTGGCTGTGGCGGATGGTGCCGTGCTTTGGCCAGAGCCACCAAGCCAAGCTGCGCCTCTCCTTGACCCTGACAGTGCAAAGATAGATCGTCCCGATGCCGAAGCATGCCAGGATGCGGACACCGAGGATGAGGAAGTTCTTTGCTTCCGCAAGCCCTTACTTATGTACATATGATCCTACTGCGCACGTTCCAACGGGCCCTCCACGGGCCAAGCGAGGCAGTTGCTGAAAAGGCGCCCACAGGGCAACCTCACCATCCTCCAGTTGTTGATAGGTTGATAGCGTCCCCTGCTTGAGACAGTAATGGTAGTTCACAGAGCCTAACTAACTAACCCTGTCTTCTGGTTGCCATGCGACTTCATGATGCCCAGGTCCTGGCTGGCAGCAACGTTAAGCAGATCATTAATTCCATCAGCCACTGCGCTGCAGAGAGTCAACTCAACTATACGTGTTTGGCAAGCCAAAGTCCGCCAATATATATATATATATATATTTATTTATTTATTTATTTATAACATAATATAACATAATATAATATAATATAGTATAATATAATATAATATAATATAGTATAATATAATATAATATAATATAATATAATATAACATAATATAACATAATAGAATAGAATAGAATAGAATAGAATATAGTATAGTATAATATTATTTAATATAATATAATATAATATAATATAATACAATATAATATATATGTATATGTGTATATATATATATATATGTATTATATAAATATATGGTAATTACATGGCATACGATCGTGATGGTGGATGACCCAGGCCTCCTCCTGGCTGCGGAGTCCTCCACACTGCTGAGCTCCTGCCTGGAGCTCTTGCAAAGCCTGGTCGAGAGCATTGACTCCGGGGCCGGGGGTTCCCAAACTGCTGCATGTGGGAGACAGAACTATGCGGAGCCTTGCCGGCCTTGTGCGAGTGTGAGAAACTGCTGCAGGTATTTAGGTCTAACTTTCCGACCGGCGGCGCAGTTCAGACCAGCCTTGATGGTGTAGGGGGGGGGGGGGCCCTCTCTGCACTTCTAAGCTGAAGTTGTGCGTCTCCGTAAGAGACCTACCTGAAGGCGCTGCTGGGTGCAGGCAGCAGCCTAGAACGCCTCATTCCTCGTCTCTGCAGCCCCTCAACAGCACTCAGACTTCTCACCTGTAGGAGTTGCCAGCAGGATATGCAGCGCATTACTTGCATTGTGTTGTAGCTTGCAACCATTCAATCAAGTTAAATTTGCTGCGAGGTTTGGAGAAAGGCAGAGACATTCTCTACGGCTTCTTGGTTCTATATCTGTTTGCCAGCTGTGACTGCGAGAACCCTGCAACCATACGTCAGCATCCAGATACGGTGGAGCTTGAGTTTCACGACTTCTTGACTCTATACGTGTACATATGTATGTGCGTCTGCCAGTCTGTCTGTCTATCTGTCTGTATGCATGCATGGATGGATGGATGGATGGATGGATAAATGTCATTATGTATGTGTATGTATGTATGTATGTATGTATGTATGTATGTATGTACGTATGCATGTACTGGAGCTCGTCATCAGTGTGCCGAAGCTGTGCAGTTTCGCATGTTTCGCCTGTCTACCGCCCCCACACCTGCTGGTCGAGAGCGAGTGCTAAGCATGTATGCGTATGTGTGTATGTATGTATGGTGTAACTAACTGCAACAGACAGAGACAGGGATATATAAATATATGGTTACAAGCCGGAAGTCTA